ACATATCACTTTTTTTATTATTATTTATATTACAAAACAATAGTAATTGAAATATCGCACACGTATTCGTTTTTCAAAGATAATTTTTTATTTTATTTTAAGGTAAAAAAAAACAAATTGCATAGAAACTATTTATTATTTATTAATTATTTAAATCATACAAAATACGATCATTCTGTGTTCGTGATTTTTATTTATTCATTTCATGAATAATGTAGCGATCTGGTTGGCTAATCAGCACAGTATTGTTTTTATTTAGTTCAAACTCAAATCATAATTATTTTTAATAAAAAGAAAGATCGATTTTTTGGTTATGAGACAGGTTTTCTAAAATTTATCTAATTGGTGCTTTTTTTATCTATCTAGGTTGCGAGTTGTAAACAGAGCGAGCAATGATTGTTTTTAATAAAACAAAATTAAGATATTAAAATACCTATCAAGATACAAAATTTTTTATTCGCAATAAAACAATAGCAGTATTTTCCAAAAATATTAAACAATAACAATTATGTTTTCTAAAATTAATACTATGTTCAATAAACATCAAGCATGCCCTAAATTAGTGTTATTAATACAGTAATATCAGATCATGCATGTACGTACAGTACAAAGAAAGATCATCCCATCTTGCCCTTCGTCATATACTTTTTTTTTTTTTTTTTTTTTATATATAAGACAATTTCTCAAAGCGAAATGAAATGAAGCGGTGCATCAAGAAATAAAAAGATGACAGCACAAGACATCATAAAAGCAAAAATCAAGTTAAGGATCAAGATCAAGGAATGTTGAAAAAAAAAAATATATAACGCAACTATTCCCGTGAAACAGTAATTTTCCTTTTATATCCATTTTTCGCCTAAAAAAAACAGCGATCTTATATAAAAAAAAGACGATCTAACCACTAAAAAAGACCATAGTGTAGCACGAATCCGGGAGAGATTCACTAGTGTGTTAATATTAAAACTTTCTTAGTATTTGTCAAAAATCAGAACTGGTCAAAAAAAATTTTTTGACCGGTAAAATTTTATTAAAATCATACCTTAATTATCCACTAAAATAAATAGTTTCCTAGTAATAAACAGACAAGTCTATGTTTTCTACAGCTGGCTTCATAATTTTTATAATCGACCAAATTAGATAATAGTCAATTAGTTATTCAATGGTTGAACAATTATAGTCTCAGTAATCGCCAATAAAAAATTCAATCGTATATAATTATGAAATTCTTTAAGTTCGGTAATGTTAAGGCTATTATTTGTAGAACTAGCTGGGCATATGATATAGTTAAATTGTTTAACGAAATTTTTGTTTTATATAGATTTTAAATTTTTTCAAAATGGATGAGATCGTATCACAACTAGGTACAGTATGTACATGCTATGATTTTACATTACACGTAAGATTTATAATAAATTTGTGTATGGGTGAGAAATATCGAACCTCACCCTGGGTAAATTATAAATTTACCCTTATTGTATAATACTGAAATTATCAAAACCCCGACCATAATTTTTTAGGGTCCAAATTTTTACTTACTGATTTTCCCTCTCGCGCACTCATATATATACTGGATCGGAACTTAAATTTTTTTAACATGGCCATTCAAAATTAAGTCATTTAACGTTATCCTTCTTTGTTTGAGTTCCCTCTAACGTTAAACAAATATAAAAAGCAAATTCTAACGTTAATATTTTGATCGGTAAATGTTAATTTTTAAGGTTTAATTCACCCGAACAAATATTAAAAATCGACGTTTTTAATTTCAAATGGCCTAGTATGAGAACGATATAGATTCTGATTGTTAGATCACGAAATCCAAATTCGCCAAATTACCCTCTTCACAAGTTATTTTTTTTCGTTAATTGAAAATTTTATCTGTTGTCGTTTGAATAACCAGTTTGAAGATCGTAGCAGCATAATTAGTTATCTAAACTAACGTTTGATCATTTAAATGTTTCTCTGAAACATTCCAGAATAAATAGCATCTTTCTATATCGATATTACTAATCCTGATAACTAATACTGATATGGTTTAGTGTCAGTGATCTTAATGAGTTCCACATATGGGTAAGTATTTTTGAACCCGGACCAATTTTATCTATGACGTAATAACATTTTGGTCTGGATTCAAAAATAATTCCCAATATATACAATCTAATTCGGATCTATGCGTATCTTCGCCATCAAAAATGTCACTTTCACGTGACCACCGAAAAAAAACTTTAGCGTTTAAAAACCAATGTTAAAGAATAAAGGTAGTATAGTAAAATTACTCAAGGAATTTTTTTTGTTAGTGCAAGGCAGTTTCTTATGTTTGTTTTGGATCTTCGCGGTCGTGTTACGCTACATCAAATTGCGATTAATTATTGGCTAATCAGATGGGTTGCTTAAGCTAGAGCTTGGAACCGGCTTTATTTTTCATATGTTAAAATCGGTTTTGATCGGTTTTAACATACAGTATGAAAAAATAAATCCTCCCGGTTCCAAACTCTAGCCTAAGCGTAGTCCCGTGAAGACTTAAAAATTCGTGGCTTATCATTCATACATTTAATATATACATAATCATTAATATATTAATTTGTAAATTAACATTAAAGGAGAGAAAGGTTTATTCGTACGGTCTGAATTTAGGATGGCTTGACCACGGGACAGAACTTTTTTTTTGACATGACTAAGCTTTGTTTTCGTTAGCGTTAGTAGCTTAAAGGGATTTAATGCCAATTATCCATGATTATGATTGTTCACTAGTGGAGCCTGCTCAATGATAAATAATGCCACGCGCTTATTTTTGATCAACTTTTTGTAGTGAATACTAGTTCATAATGAAATAAAGTCGACACTGTTAATTTTTCATTCGATATAATGAATGTATAAACTTTCGATATGCATAAGCTATAGTAAAGACTTTTTAAAATTTAGTATATTTATAATGAAAATTTATAACAATTTTAACAAATTATACGTATTATGATGGACACCGGTTTCAATTGGTCTAACAGACTAAAGATATCGTACGTACATGTGTACGTACCAAACTTTCAATAGATGATTTAGGACGGTTATAACGATTTAACAATAAAATATTCATATTACGCATAACGAAGTCTTTTCCCAGTCCACTTGATTTTGTATACGATCCAATTGGTTCTGTGACAGTGTCACCGTATAGCTTCTTGTTTCCTAATATCTTCTGGAGCGTCTAAATAACATATCAAAAAATGAATGAAAAAAATTTGTGAGTTATAAATAACTCGACATATCCTCATATACCCAACATCCCTTCTTACAACTTAGAAACCTCCAAAAAAAAAAAAAATATACGTTGAACCCTTGCCCACAAATAATCCAAGCATTCCTCATGTTCTTAATGAGTACGCTTTCCACTGTTCCAGAAACATGTCTGGCAGAGATCAACGACCACAATAGCAACTAGTGAAATAAAACCGGAATGTAGATATTCCCAGGAAAAAAAATGTCACCGTCCTAAACATACCCATAAGGACTTGGACTTCTCCTTCCATAATCATATCCATAAGGGCTCTGACTTCGTCTATAGACGGGACTCCTTGACCGATTTCTTGGTGGCCCATAAGAGCCACTGCCTGAACCTCCATACGCAGGTGGTGACCTAGAGATTCGACGATAACGATCATAATCATCATAATAACCGCCGCTGCGACCTCCATAATACGGAGAACGACCCCGATAACGAGGGGATGGTGCTCTACGATCGTAATCACCGCCACCTCTACAAAATGTGTTATAAATTGTCAATTTTTTAAATAATCCATTTACTGATAAATTTTCATTTTAAGTTTATCTGCTATAGAAATTCACCTGCAATATTTGGCCAAATGACCTAATTCACCACATCGAAAGCAGCGACCACTTCTAACGTCCATACCCTTTTCTCTAGCATCTGGACATTCCCTAGCCCAGTGGCCTTGTCCTCCACATAAAAAACATCCGCTTCCAGGTCCACCAGATCGACGGGACCACTCTACAGCGATTCGAGCTCCATCTAACTCATATCCATTAAGCTGTTTCACAGCATCATCAGCATCGCGTGGATCCTATAAAGCCAGGTTTCCACGTGCAAGAGCGACACGTTTTAACAATTAGTTGTTTAAAGTGAACTTGATAAGCCAAACACATACCAAGCTTCCTGATACAGATGTCATTAATAATACTCATTATTAACCTCAAACTCAACAAATGCATATCCCATAGGTTTTACGTCTACACTTAATACTTTTCCATATCGTTCAAACTATAATATACACAATATTAAAATAAGTGTTGTTGGTTAGAAAAGTGAACTGAGAGATATTCCAAGTCATACGAATAAAAGGTGAATAAACGATATATACCAACTCTTCTAGGTCTCTTTTCTCTGTTCTTGTCGAAAGGTGTCCTATATAGACTAACAAATATTTTAAAAACGTCAAACGTTAATACGAATAAATTCATATGTTAATAAGACCTTTTTTAAAGAAATGGAAAATACTTACGTTTACTAGGTGTTGCCATTGTAAGTTTGCAAGTTTGCTTAACGATCTTCTAACTCAAAAAAAAAAAAATGCCTTTTTTTTTTTTAAAAAAAAAACCTGAGAAAGTTTGCGGCTTTTACAAACCAGATATTTATTTATGCCGGAATTGTGTTAAGCATAACTGAAGTCCGTTTTTATTGGCTGATAGACAGAAATTCTGATTGGCTAACCTACTCGCGCGAAGTTTAAATAATTTCTTGACGAGATTATTATCTATCTATTTTATAATAATAAACGGGTACGTACGTACGTACGTACTAATTTATTGATTTACAACATACTGTGAACAAAACAAAAATTTATCTGGTTTAAAATTAAGTAAAATTATTTTTAAAATAATAAAATTTATTTATATACTATATAGTACTATAGCACTATAGTACTAGAATATTGTAACTAATTAAAGTTTAAGATCAGGTGTAACATATAGATTATCTCTTTGTATAACAAAAATAATAAATTTTTTTTTTGTAATTTGGCTCTGTTTATTTAGAATCAACTATTTAACCAATTACAAATTGTAATTTCTACTGTATTAAAAAGAAATTTATTTTAGATTTTGTTTAAATACAACTTGTCTTAGTAGCTTTTGGTCTCTTTTTGAATCTTTAACTTACTTTTTTTTTTTTATATAATTCAGCTGTCCTGCCACTTTTTATTTGAGATCAAACTAAACTAAGAAATTTATATTTTCTAATAATAATTATACTAATCTCCTCACAAAGCAGCTTATCCACGCTTTTGCCAGATATGATCAGTTTTAATAGACTTCAAGCCTTTCTTTAGGCTCCTAACTCACTAGGGTTATCTTTTGATCATGGGTGGATACTATACATTATATCAGAATTGATTTTTCTTTTTATAAAACAAAGTACAGATACAAATACAAAAAGCAAAAAAAAAATGAGAAATTACCTCAATATTAAATTCTAAATTATCTAAACAAATAAAACCAAACAAAACAAATAACGAAAAGAAAAAAAAAATCAAAAGAAAAGAAATCAAAGATAGTACTATTAAACTCGTATTGGATAATAAAAATTATATAATACTACAAATAAGCTAGACTAAACTCTATGTTAGTTATTTATATTTATATCTAAAATATAAAAATATTAAAACCACCTGGTCTTGAAGTAGAGCTCCAAGATCAAAACTTTCAGTTACTATCCTAATTAAATCAGCAGGTCTTTTGCAATATTTCAAATGTTATCACATTATCTGACACTATTCATCCCAAAATAAACACGTACATGTGTATATATCTTTTCTTTTTTGGCAGCTATTACTGTGTTGATCTTTTGTTGAAAATATGCTGATTTTTATACTTTTTGATGAAAATTTTATAAAGTGTAAAGAGTGAAGTTTGGTAAAGAGTTTCAGTTTGCAGATATTCTTAAACTTGGATAAAGAGTGTGTTGAAAATTTACTTGTTGTTCTTCTTTAAACCAACTATTATCTAACTTTGTCAACAGAAGCAGTGTTTTTATCCACCTTCTTGTCAGTTATCTTGTACAAGAACATTTTTAACTTATATGCCAAATATACAGAAGAGTATAGGATAAAGTGCAAAAGTCTTAACTTCTGTAAAAACCATTATTGTATAGTTGTCTTTTCTACTTTTCTCTAACAAGTTTCTGTTTTCATTAGCCGTAAGTTTGGTACAAGTGATCATCAGAGAAAGTTGTGTTTAGAATCTTTAACTTACTAAAAATTTTTTTTAGTTAATAGATAGTAATTATATATATCTTGTTAAATCTATCTAATTATATTTATAATCTATAATATAATTATACTTTGGTTAAAACCAATACTTGTAAATAATACAAAGTATCAAATTATTAATCTTTATTATATTGTATATAATTTACTGTATTTTACTATTTTTATTTACTATACTAATAACTACCTTTCTATATATCTTTTACAATTATTTGTATTTTTTGTATTTTATTTTTTTTCTTTATAGATAGTCTAATTTATATTTAGATTATATATTTTTTAATTTTTTAATTTTTTAATTTTTAAACTTTACTTTATTTTTTTCTAATAGATTTAGGCTTGTTTTTTTATATTTTTTTTGGTTTAATAGATAAATTATAAAATAACTAACAAAAAATTTTTTTATATAATATATAAATTTTATTACTGTATAGACCTAAAAGTAGAAAATTTTTATCTAAACCTTTTTTTTACTAAGTAAACTATTCTTAAACTTTTAACAAAATTGTAAAGCATATCTAATAGTGATAAGAATATTAAAATTGGTCTAATAGTTCTTAAAAAAAACTTTAAAAAACATTTTACTAATATATAAAATTTTTTAAAAAAATTAATTTTTTTTTAAAGAAATTTTAAAAATCAATTTTAATGTTTTTATCATCATTAAATGTGTCTTAATAAGTTTTACAATTTTTGTTAAAAACTCAAAAGTAATTTATTTAGTAAGAAAAAAAGTTTTAAATAAGAGTATTTTACTTTTAGACTTATAATAAAATTTATATATAAAAAATTTTTGTTGGGTATGGTGACTTAGAGTAGTAGTTAAGTTGTCACCTTCCAAGTGGCAGGTCTAGAGTTCGAATCCTACCAGAGACGTTTTTAGAAAAATAGGCCTGTGTTCCGGTAACAATTATTCAACGATCGGTTGGGTATATTACCTGTAATCTTGG